TTATTTGTTTTTTAACCATCCTGAGGCTTGAATTCATGTTCTGGGTGTTATCTCTGAACTTTTTTTTGTCAATCGTGGAGCTTGAACTCTGGGCCTGGGCCCTGTCCCTCAGCTCTTCAGCTCAAGGCTAGCGCTCTACTACTTGAACCACAGGGCCACTTCCAGTTTTTGGTGTCTTATTGGAGATAAGAGTCTCACAGACTTTCCTGCCTGGGCTGGCTTTGGGCCACAATCCTCAGATCTCAGCATCCTGAGTAGCTAAGATTATAGGCATGAGCCACTGGTGCCTGGCTTCTCTGAGCTTTGCTTGCTCAAGGCTAGTGCTTTACCACTTGAGCCAGAACACCACTTCTGACTTTTTTTTGGTAGTTTATTGGAGATAAGAGTCTCATAGACTTTCCTGTCTGGGTTGGCTCCAAACCACAAGCCTCAGATTCTAGCCTTCTATGTATCTATGATTATAGATGGTGAGACACCAGTGCCTGATTTCTTTAAATTTTTTTTTTTTAGTAATGTAGTTTTGAGCATACAAATGTTTCACCTATTCGGTTAATTTTTTTACTTAATTTATTCTTGGAATAAATTGGAATTGTTATTTTCAATTTCATTTTCTGATTTTTAATTGCTGCTATGTAGAAATGCAACTAGATTTTGTAAATTGAACTTGTGTTTTGCAACTTTGCTGAAATCATTATTTAAATTTTTTTGTGTGATTTCTTTAGGATTTTTGCTATATAAATTCATGTCATCTGCAACTAGAGATAATTTTACTTCTTTCTAATTTGAATGCTTTGTTTATTTTTCTTGTCTAATTGCTTGTGCTAGGATTCTCAGTGCAATGTTGAATAGAAATGGAACAGACAGGCATTTTCCCTTTGTTCCTGATCTTAGGGAAGACATTCAATCACTGCTGAGTATGATGTCAGCTGCAGGCTATTTAAATGCATTTTTGGTCATTTAAAGATTTTTTTTCCATTCCTAGTTTGGTGGATACTTTGAATATTGTCAAATGCTTTTTCTACATCAATTGGAATAATAATAATGTATCTTCCCCTTTTGTTCTGTTAATGTGTTGTATTACATTGATAGATTTTTATGTATTGAGCCACCTTTACACTCTGAAAATATGTTCTGTTTGGCCACAGAGCCTAATCCTTTAAATATCCTATTGAATTGGTTTCCTGGTATTTTTTTAAAAGGATATTTTACATTTATATTCATAAGATTAGTGACCTTAAATTTTCTTTCCTTGTGATTTTTTTTTGTCAGTCATGGGGTTTGAATGCTGGGCTTGGGCACTGTCCCTCAGCTCTTCAGCTCAAGGCGAGTGCTCTACCGCTTGAGCCACAGCGACACTCCCAGTTTTCTAGTGGTTTATTGGAGTCTCACGGAGTTTCTTGCCCGGTCTGGCTTTGAACCATGATCCTCAGATCTCAGCCTTCTGAGTAGCTAGGATTACAAGCCTGAGCCACTGACTCCGGGCTCCTTGTGATATTTTTTTTGTTTTTTGTTTTTTTTGGGTCCGGTCATGGGGCCTGAACTCTGGGCCTGGGCGCTGTCCCTCAGCTCTTCAGCTCAAGGCTAGCGCGCTACCACTTGAGCCACAGCGCCACTTCCGGCTTTTTTCTTTTTGCTTATGTGGTGCTGAGGAATCGAACCCAGGACCTCATGCATGCAAGGCAAGCACTCTACCACTGAGCCACCTTCCCAGCCCCTCCTTGTGATATTTTTGTCTAGCATTGCTGTCAGCATAATGCTGACCTTATGGAGTGGGTTGGGAAGTGTTCCTTCCTCTTCAATTTTTTTTTGAAGAAGGAAGATTTTGAAAGGATTGTTGTTAATTTTCCTTAAAATGTTTTGGTGGTATTAAAGTTTGAAATCAGGACCCTTGGCTTGTTAGAAAGGTACTTTATCACTTGAATGATAGTATAAGTAGTTCTTTTTGTGCTATCTATCTATCTATCTATCTATCTATCTATCTATCTATCTATCTATCTATCTATCTATCTATCTATCTATCTGTCTGTCTGTCTGTCTGTCTATCTAATCTGTCTATCTATTTTGTTGATTATGGTGCTTGAAATCAGAATCTGGGCACTGTCCCTAAGCTTTTTGTTCAAGGCTAGCACTCTATTACTTTGAGCTACTGCTCCACTTCCAGTTTTCTGGTGGTTAATAAGAGTCTCCCAGGTTTTTCCACCATGCTAGCTTTGAACCAAGATTCTCAGATCTCAGCCTCCTGAGTAGCTAGGTGTGAGCTACCAGCACCCACCTACTTTAGTTATTTAATTAATTAAATAAATAAATTTATTTATTGTCAGTTGTGGGGTTTGAACTCTGGGCTTGGGTGCTATCCCTGCACTCTTCAGCTCAAGGAGAATGCTCTACCACTTGAGCCACAGCACCACTTCCGGTTTTGTAGTGGTTTATTGGAGATCAGAGTTTCACGGACTTTCCTGCCTGGGCTGGCTTTGAACCATGATCCTCAGCTCTCAGCCTCCTCAGCTAGGATTACAGGCATGAGCCACCGGCAGCCGGCTGCTTTAGTTATTTTTGAGATAAGGTCTGGTGTGTAAGTTAAGACTGACCTGAACCATGATCCTCTTATTTGTTTCCCAAGTAACTGGGATGCCACTATGCCCAGCTTTTTATTAGCTGAGATGAGGGTCTTACAAACTTTTTACCAAGTCTGGCCGTGAACTGCAAGCCTTCTGTTCTTCTAAGCCGCTGGGATTACAAGCATGAGTCGCCCAGTCTGGCTTCTTTAAATGTTCTTTAAAATTCATCAAAGAGGCCATATGATCTTTGGCTTTTCCCTGTGAAGTTTTAAATCATTGATTTAATCTTTACTTTTACTTGTTACAAGTCTTTAAAGATTTTCTATTTCTGCAGTGGTTCTAACCTGTAATCCTAGTGATTTGGGAGGTAGTTATACAGGGACTTCAGTTCAAAGATGGCCCATGGAAAAAGAAGTTTATGAGGCTCCATTTCAACCAATGGCTGAATGCAGTGGTTCATGTCTGTTGTGCCAGTTTTTTTTTTTTTTTTTTTGGTAAGCACAATTGTTGGAAGCAATGGCAGCTCCTGTCATCAAAGAGACATGAAGAAGCACAAATAGGAGGATCACAGCGTACATTGGCCCAGGCATAACGTGAGATCCTATTTCAAAATAATCAATGCAGGGACTGGGACTGTGGCATAGTGGTAGAGGGCTTGCCTAGCATGCATCAAGCCCTGAGTTTGATTCTTCAGTACCACATAAACAGAAAAAGGGTGCTGTGGTTCAAGTGGTGGAATGCTAGCCTTGAGCAAAAGAAGCTCAGGGACAGTGCCCAGGACCTGAGTTCAAACCCCAGGACTGGCAAAAAAATTAATGTAAAAAAGGGGCCACAAGCATGGCTCAAGTGGTAGAGTACCTGCCTAGCAAGAACAAGGCTCTAAATTCAATCCCCAGTATTTTCACCAACGAAGTGCCTACCTACACCATTGTTTTCTAAATCATTTCTATGGTGTGTAAATATCCTATGTGATGTGAATAGATTATCTTTGTTAAAATGATGCCAAGATCAATAAATTTGAGGATATGAACATGAAATTCTTTCCTTGCAGAACCCCAATTCACATAGCCTGTTAAAAACCATAGAATGTATTCATAAACTTGATTATGATATTCTTTTTTGAGCTGAGCACTGGTGGCTCATGTCTGAAATCATAGCTACTCAGGAGGTTGAGGTCTGAGATTATGGTTTGAAGCCAGTCCAGGCAGAGTCTCTTATCTCTAATCAGCCCCATAAAACCCAGAAGTGGAGCTGTGGTCTAAATGGTAGAGTGCTAGCCTTAAGCAAAAAAGCTCAGGGATAGCACCCAGGCCCTGAGTTCAAGCCCCAGTATTGGCACAAAAAATTATTTTTTGAAGCTGTATTGAAGTTATGGCTTATGTGGTAGAGTTCCAGCCAAGTAAACAAGATGATCAAATGCAAGACCCTGAGTTCAAACCCTAATACTTGCAAAAACAAGGTATGTACATATGTATATATACACACATATTTATACTTATGTGTGTATATCATTTATTTATTTCCATCTTATGAGATACCATGGTTCTGCAATTAAATCTGGGGAACACTGCCTGTAGCAAACCCAAATCCACAATGTGTCACAAAGAGGAGGACCACCTTGTGCTTCCTGATATGTGAAAGAATCAAGGAGAATCTGAAAGTGCGACTCTCAAGTGGTGGCTTTGGAGCTGGCAAGCTCTTTCACTCCTCAGTGGTTAACCAAAGTCAAACCTTGGGACCACAGCCCTTTGTACCTCTAGGGGTGAAAGTTTTCTTTCTGTCAGCCCAGTATAGCATGGGGCACCCATATGTGTTGGTGGAAACTGATATTTGGTTTCATGAGACCAAACTCTCCCTGACTTTACCTCTTGGAGGTCTTGCTGCCCTTCTGTGCAGGTGAGAGGGTGAGGCGGTTGTGGCGGAATACACAGAGCTTCGGCTCAGGAGCCAAGAGGCCTGGGTTCAAGTCCTGGTGCTGAGTGACCTTGGGCGAGTTAAGCCTGGAGGAGCGGGTGAGCGTGTGGACTTTGATGTCAGACACACTTGGCCTTTCCACATCCTTGCTGTGTGATCATAGGCACATCAGTCACCCCACTGCACCCTGTTTCCTTACCCTGTGGTGAGAAGGAAATAAGATACTGCATGTCATACACAATGTCTGGAAGAAAGTAGGCAGCTGGCAAATGTCAACTATTCCAGTGCCTCTTCCATCTGGGTTTGAAGAGAACTCTAACCTTTCACTGATGCTTAACAATCAGGTAGACTCTTGAATGTGAAGAGGAGTTCTGAAAACTCTTAGAAACAAAGGAACATTCAGAATGCTTTACCCTTATTACTGTCCTTGATGCTGCCTCATTCCCTCTGAGTGGAATGAGCAGGGCAGGGTGTGAAGGCCTCACCAGCCTTTCTGGACTCTTAGACAGAACCATTTCTCCATTACAGAACATTGGCAAGAAGATGTCCTGCCAGCAATTCATTGCCAACTTGGACCAGCTGAATGATGGCCAAGATTTTGCCAAAGACCTGCTGAAGGTATTATCTACTGTGGATTCCCATCTTCCCAGCTGTGTCAAAGTGGGTATAGAGAAGTCTCTGCCCCCTTAAATCTTAACATTCCAGGCCCTTAATGCTGGGGGCAAGACTACCATGACCTTGGGGGCAGAACTAGAGACCATCCATCTCCACAGTTGGCTATCCTGTGTTCCTGGACTGAGGCAGAAGGATAGGCTTTGTGATATTTGTGTTAGATGCTCTAGATGTCACCATCGCCTTCACAGTAATCACCATCACTGCTACCAACTGTCACATTGTCCCCTTCCTTACTGCCTCCATCACCACCATTCATCCCTCTGACATCACCAAGGATGAAAGGAAAACAGTTTCCTTTTGAAGGCTAGGGTAGAGTTCTGGCTTTTCTAACTTTGTCAGTTCTACACTTTGGAGAAAGAAGAGAAAGATTCCTTTTGGAGGGAGGGAGATCAGGAATTCATTTTTAGATAATTGATTTTAACAACATGATGGTGCCAAGAGGGGAGTTGAATAGAATCTAGAGGTAAAATTTTATTATGTGGCAATTAAAAATAAAGCTAAAAAGAGAACATGATCTCTTTTCTCACTATAATTACCTTCCTCTCCATTCAGAAGCACTCGTTACAAACACACTCATGAGATCAAGCCATCACCCATCTATTCACTTCTTGCCAACTACTAATCTTCTTCCCATTATTATTCACTCACTCATTTTTCCTGTGCATGCATTCTCAGGAGAAAAATTTTAATAACTCTTGTACTTAAATACCCACCTACTCCTCCATCACCTGTTCATATACCCTAACTCTCATAAATCACTCATTCACCCACCTCTCACCTATTCATCCTCTATCCATCCATCCATCCATCCATCCATCATCCCAACCATTCATTCACTATATTGAGAATGTACAGTATGCTGAGTTCTAGACCATGCATTGGAGATTTAGTGGCAAACATGACAGACCACTCTTGGCCTTATGAAGCTTAGTCTCCTGGGGTGGGGGCAAACAATTAATGACAATATCATGTATCCATACCTCCAACCATCCACTCATTTGTCCATCACACCAACCCGTATGGATCACTTTGCCCCATTAGCTGGAACTATGCTTCCTTACTACACCTTACTGAGGTAGATGGAGAGCACTTTGAATCTTGGACTGAATTCCTCTCTTCTCCCCTCTCTCAGACTCTTTACAACTCCATCAAGAATGAAAAGCTGGAATGGGCCATGTGAGTAGTGCCCATGGGCACAGGTATGGGGAGACTGCATCTCTGGGAGAGGGAGTGGCTGGGGATTCAGGTTAGTCACGCTGACCACTCTCCATGGTGCTGATTTCTCCTAACCCAGAGCCCTGACCACCCCTGACCAGCTGTTAGTTCAACTCATGGTAGAATTCACTTTGAGCTAATTCTTTGTCTTGATTAAAAGTGTGCAATGCAGAACTAGAGGTATAGATTAAGTAGTAGAGTTCCAGGTATGAACAAAACATTTGAGTAAAAGCTCAAGGCTCCAAGTTCAAGCCCCAGCCTGACAAGAAAAAAAATAGTGTTTACATTGCTATGGAATGGACTGAACTATAGACCTAGTTGTATGATGTCCACTGCTGGTTTTGAGGAGAAGGTGATAGTGAAATCTACAACTTGTGATCAAGAGTAAGGATTATCTTAGAAGTCCTAAATCAAAGATCAGAGGTCAAGGATCAGTGATCTGGATCTGTGGTGTGGAATCTCCTTATCTCAGCCTGTCATGGCTGGCTTCCCCTCTGACCCTGGCTTCCAGGGGGTATTGGGTGGGATATGGGGCTGAGGCCTCTCTGGAAGTGGTGCTTAGGCCTGGTACCTTCCTAGAGATGAGGATGAGCTGAGGAAATCCCTGTCTGAGCTGGTGGATGACAAGTTTGGGACAGGCACGAAAAAAGTGACACGGATCCTGGATGGCAGAAATCCCTTCCTGGATGTCCCACAGGCTCTCAGTGCTACTACCTACAAGCATGGCGTGCTGACCCGGAAGACTCATGCTGACATGGATGGCAAGAGGAGTGGGTGTCAGGCTGGGGAAGGGGGCATGGGAGGGATTCTCACAGAGGAAGGCCCACCTTTTGGCCCCTCCTTTGGGGATGTGCACATGGGTGGACGTGGCAGGGCTGGGGGAAGTCTGGATGGGGGAGGCAGGGTCGGAGATGGTGTAGTGGCTGGTGGCAGACACACTCCCCATGTCTCTCCTCAGCTCCCCGTGGGAGGCGTGGCTGGAAGAAATTCTATGCTGTTCTCAAAGGGACTATCTTGTACCTGCAGAAGGTGAGAGACTGCCCCCTAGAGGTTTTGTTTTTGTTTTTTTGGTTCTGATCCTGGGACTTGAAATCAGGGCCTGGGTGCTGTCCCTGAGTGTTTTTGTTTTTTTGTTTTTGTTTTCCCCCTAAGGCTAGCACTCTACCACTTGAGCTACAGCTTTACTTCTGGCTTTTTGGTGGTTAATTGGACTTCTGTGCCTGAGCTGACTGTAACCCGCCATCCTCAGATCTTAACCTCCTGAGCAGCTAGGATTGCAGGTGTGAGCTCCCAGCTCCCAGCCTGCCGGAGCCCAGTCTTACCCAGCTTTACCTTGTGGTGTTCAGCTCTGCTTGGAAGGACCTAGGACCTAGAGTCCTACTTGGGCTCACTAAGGGGTCTGAAGCTTTGGGGGAAGGGTATGTGAAATGCTCAGGGGCTCAATGTATACAGCCAGCATCAGGCATCTGGGGTACAGGGGAGGGGATTTGGAGAGAGATTCTTTTCTCTTTTTGGTACTGGGTTTGAACTCTTTTCCTCATGCTTCCTAGGCAAGACTTTTTTGCTTTAGTTATTTTTTGGGTAGGGTCTTGCATTTTTGCCTGGACTGGCTTTGGACCTTGATCCTCTTACCTTTGTGTCTTGCTTGAATAACTTGGAGTACAGGCATGTGCCACCACAGCTGGCTTTTTTTTTGTGTCCCTAACTTTATATCCACCTGGACCTCAACTACAAGCCTCCTATTTCTATCACCCAAAGTTAGCTGGAATAACAGGTATGAGTCAACTCTGAGTGAACATCTTCTTCCCCCTCAGACTGGGACTCAAACTCGGTATCTGACACTGTTGCTCATTGGCTGGAGCTCTGCTACATGAACCTTGCCTCCAACCCCTGGAATGTTTCTTTGTTGGGATGTGGGGCAATAAGTTGGAGCCTCATAATGACAGAGTACCCCCTTCCCACCCCCAGGATGAATACAGACCTGACAAGGCTCTGTCAGAGGGTGACTTGAAAAATGCCATTCGTGTACATCATGCGCTAGCCACCAGAGCTTCTGACTACAGCAAGAAGTCCAATGTGCTCAAGCTGAAGACAGCTGACTGGAGGGTCTTCCTCTTCCAGGCACCGTAAGTAGGTGCTGGAGCCCTTCCTTGCCACATGGGCTCAAGGCCTGCAGCATTAGCCTGCACATGCCACTCTCCTGGCATCTTAGGCTGGACGCCTCAACTTCCTCTTCACCTCAGCCTCAGTGTGTGTGTGTGTGTGTGTGTGTGTGTGTGTGTGTGTGCTTGACACAGACTAACAGATCCTCCAAAGCAGTGGTTCTTAAAGTGTGGTACCCTTACTGTCATCTGAAACTGGCCCCAACTTTGGCTCTCTGAATCAGAAATCTGACTGGGCTTTAGCAGAGCCTGCAGGCGTTGCTAAGGTCCCTGAAGTAAGGGATGACAGAAATTGTGAATCGTTGATTGTAAGTTTCAGGGTTCAATGGGAAAGAGCTCCTAAATTGACCCGGAAGGCCTGCCCTCCACTTCACTGCACCCTACCCTTCTGTGATTTGAAATTGGGGTTTTTGTATCTCACATGAGCTTCAAAGGAGGACTAGTGGGTGAGGCCGGGGGGACCAGAGTCTAAGTGCTGGGTAGGTGGTGAGCCAGCAGGGCTGCAAAGGAACCATAACTTACCCACTGCCGCTAATGAGTTCCTGAGCCTTAGAGCCATTAGTGTAGACCTGGCCAGGGTGATTTTCACAGGGAAGGTCTAGTCTTCCTGGGAACTGGCACAAAACGGAAGTTCCCACAGCTCTGACTAGGCCTAATCAGTTATCCACTTATCCTTCCTCCTTCCTTTTCCATTCATACACAGTTCCCAGAGCCTGGTTGGATCCTGGGCAGCAGGTGTGGCAGAGGTGGGTGGAGGGAGTGGCTAGGGAATTCTATTGTGAGAAGCCAGCACCCTTGCTTTGCCTCTACTGTCCCCAGAAGCAAGGAAGAAATGCTGTCTTGGATCCTGAGGATCAATCTGGTAGCTGCCATCTTCTCAGCCCCAGCTTTCCCGGCAGCTGTCAGCTCCATGAAGAAGTTCTGTCGGCCGCTGCTGCCCTCCTGCACCACTCGCCTTTGCCAGGTACAAGCCCTGAGAGCACAACGCCACCTTCCCAGCTTGATGCCCCACCCAGCTCCCTCTCCATTGTCAGCCCTACCCCAGCTCCTTCTCTAGGGCCTGGTCCTGAGCTGAGGGCAGATACGTCCACAAATTCCAGCACACCTCACTCCTGTTGTAGATTGGAAGACAGAGGCCATACGCCGCACACCATGCACCACACAGATACCTGCCTGTGCTGTGGTGGGTGGCACAGGCAAGCGTCTCTGCCAATGGCTATGCAGCTCTATGGGTCTCCAGTATTGTGTACATTGGACATGGATTTGAGGGGATGTATGTCTTAGGGAGCTAGGGACAGTTAAGACTTGGCTGACCCTTTATCCAGTGCTTTCTAAAAAAAAAAATATCACTACAGGTTAGTGATATTCCCTCCATTATTTCCATACATGCACACAATGTGCATTGATCATGTACATCTATCTGTCTTCTATCCCCACCACACCACTCCTCTCCTATCCAAAGTCATCTTTTTGTTTACATTCAAGAAAGAGAACATGGACTGGAAATGTGGCTTAGTGGTAGAGTGCTTGCCTAGCATGAGTGAAGCCCTGGGTTCGATTCTTCAGTACCACATAAACAGAGAAAGCCAGAAATGCTGCTGTGCCTCAAGTGGTAAGCCCTAGCCTTAAGCAAAAAGAAGCTTGGGGGGCTGGGATGTAGCTCAGTGGCAAAGCGCTTGCCTAGCAAGCGCAACGTCCTGGGTTCGATCCCCAGTACCAAAAAAGAAAAGACAAAAAAAATACAGTTAAAAAAACCCAAACAAAAAAAAGAAGCTTGGGGACAGTGTCTGGGGCCCTGAGTTCAAGCCCCAGGACTGGCAAAAAAAGAAAAAGAAAAAAAAAGAAAGAGAACATGTTTGTCTTCCCATGCCTGGCTTCTTTTGCTTAACAAGATGTTATGCTCTTGCTCAGCTTTTTTACTCACAGCTGGAGCTCTACCACTTGAGCCATGCCTCTATCCCAGCTTTTTTTCAGTTGGTCATGGGGCCTGAACTCGACCTGGGTACTGTCCCTCAGCTCTTCAGCTCAAGGCTAGTGCTCTACCACTTGAGCCACAGTGCCAGTTCCGGCTTTGTCTGCTTATGTGGTGCTGAGGAATCAAACCCATGGGCCTCATGCATGCAAGACAAGCACTCTACCACTGAGCCACCTTCCCAGCACCATCCCAGCTTTTTTGTGGGTAATTGGAGATGGACTTTTATGCCTGGGCTGGCTTCAAATCATAATCCTTAGATCTCATCTTGAGTAGCTAGGATTATAGGTATAAGCTACCTATATGCCAGGCTTTATTCATCCATCAGTTGATAGACACCTATACCTGTTGCATAATAGTATATAATAATAGTATATAGTAATATTAGTATATAATAAATAATAATATATTAATATACAGTATATAATGATATATGATATATGAATAGTGCCATACTAAACATGGGTGTGCAGGTATTTCTATTGTATGCCAACTTACATTCTTTTGGATCTGTGCCAGTGAATGTAAAACAGGATCATATGGTAGTTCTAGTTAAGTTTTTTGAAGAATCTTTGTACTAACTTCTACAATGGATGCACTAATTTATATTTCCACCAACAGTTATAAGAGTTACCATTCCTCCACATCTTCATTAGCATTTGTTACTTATTTATTTTTTAAAATTGATTGATTGCCAGTGTTCAGTGATCTCATGCTCACTTGGCTTACTTGCTCACTCATGATTGTGTTCTACTGCTTGAATCACATCTCTGCCTGATTTTGTTGTTGTTGTTGTTGGTTAACTGGAGTCTCATGGACTTTTCTAACCTCAGCTGGTTTGAACTGTGATCCTCCAGCTCTCAGCCTCCTGAGTACCAAGTACTACAGGTGTGAGCCATCAACACCCAGGTTTATTCTATTAATGAACTTTTTTGATAACACTCAGTTCTCTTACGATGGCTTCACTGATCATGAAATGTTTTATTTGTAATCCTACCAAAACCCCCGCATCTCATCAATACTCCAGGATTCAGAGTTTTGGGAGAGGAAAGAATAAGTGATGGGCTAGAATTGGCAAAGATCCTGGGAAGCTCCGAACATTGTCTTTGTCAGCCTTTGGTCCATTTGTCTCTCCATGAAGCTCTAGGGGAGGCAGGGTGTCTCCATTGGCTTAAAGCCAATGTGTATGCACATACACAATTAGCCACACTGCATCCATACACATGTATCTACATACATGTACTGCCTAGCCACACATACACACTCAGGACACTCACACATGTGCACTGTACAAAGGAGCCTGGCTGTATGGTGGTGGGTGGCATGTGTGTTCGTGTCTGTAAGTGACAGTGTGTCTGACTTTGGGTGTGATCCTGGGTCTGCGACCACTCACATGCATCTGAGAATGACTATGAGAGAATGTGTATATTGCATACCTTCAACAGGGATAACAAGGCCGGGCTGACCCCTTAGCCCAGTGTCTCTGTGCACATGGGAGACTTCTATGAGCCAGGGGTGTGTCTGGGTAGTGTGAAGTTCTCTCACCTCTTGATCAGGATGAGTATTGAGAGAACTAAGTGTGCATGTCCCTTGTCCTTAGTAGGAAGGGAGAAAGGAGGATCTAGAGCTTGGCTCTACCCTCACGGCTTTAGGGACTCTGGCAGCCTCATTAGAGCTTAGAATGGTTAGACTTATCCCTGTGGCATCCAAGAGTTAGGCCTCAAGCTCCGGGGCTTGTCTTTGCAGGAGGAGCAGCTGCGGTCTCATGAGAATAAGCTGAGGCAGGTGACTGCAGAGCTGGCTGAGCACAGGTGTCACCCAGTGGAGAAAGGCCTCAAGTCCAAGGAGGCAGAGGAATACCGGCTGAAGGAGCATTATCTCACGTTTGAGGTGGGCCTCCCACAGGTGGATGGTGAGAGTAAGGGCTTGGGCCAGAAGAAGAGGCCAGCTCCTGTCCTCCACCTCCACCCACAACATCCTTTTAAAGCTAGGGGCTCCTGATCAGGGAGTTTCTCACTTTGGGGACTCCTCTGAAGCAGCTATAATCTAATCACGAATCATAGCCTCCCACTCTCCAGCTGTCAAATGCTCATTAATTGTACCTCACCTAGGTTTCTTCAAGAGCACCAGAGGGACACAATGTACGTACCACCTTTCCAGGCCCCTCTCTGACCGCCACCTCCCACAAAACTCTCAGTCTGTGTCCCTGCTGATTTCCCCACCTTTGGCTTGATTTTTCCTCTTGAGCATAACTTAGCAAACAGCAATTTATTCTTTTCTTCTTTGTCTCTTTTTTCTTTCTCCCTCCTGTCTTTTCTGCGCACCATCCTGATTCTGCCTCCCAATGCTCTGCAGAGGGGGCTAAATGTCACATTTGTAGGGTGAAGGATAAGATGTCAGATTGAGGGAGGAAGATAAGAAGCAATTGTCCTGTAGATGTGGATAGGCAGGCAGGAAGGCTGGCTGGTAGATAGGCAGGCAGTCAGGCAGGCAGGCAGGCAGGCAGGCAGACAGGCAGACAGACAGACAGACAGACAGAAGGGCCAAGAGTAATCCAGTAGTCTCAGAGCAGGAAGATTAGGCATCATGAATCTTAGTCTCTAGATTTCAATATTCTTTTCCTCTTCCTCCTCCTCCTCTTCTTCCTCCTTCTTCTCCTCTTCCTCTGTCTCCTCTTTCTTGTCCTCCTCTTCTTCCTCCTCCTCCTTCAACTCTTCCTCTAGTACTGAGTTGAACTCAGGGTCCAAAACTTAATATCATTATCTACTGCTTGAGCCATATCCCCAGCCCTTTGCACTTCAGTTATTTTTCAAATAGAGTCTCGAGGTTTTTGCCTAGGCCTTCCTCGACTGGCTCATCCTATATATGTTTTCCACATAATTAGAGTAACAGGTGTGGACCACCATGCCTAATTTTTTATTGGCTTAGATGTGTCTCAAGTACTTTCCTCTCTCCCCTCTTAGTGTCAAACTATAATCCTCCATATTCCTGCCTCCTGAGCAGCTGGGATTCTGTAATCCCATGAGCCATGGTGCCTGGGTCCATACTGCTTTTGGTTAAGATGTGCAGGAAAGTTTCTAGGAAAGACCTTAAACTTTTGAAAAGCACAGAACTTGGTAGCTTTAGGAAGCTTTCTCCCATGTACTTTGATGGGAAAAGCTAGAGTGGGCTGACCTGCTGGTGTTCTTTTTTTTTTTTGGGTCCAGTCGTGGGGTCTGATCTCTGGGCCTGGGCGCTGTCCCTCAGCTCTTCAGCTCAAGGCTAGTATTCTACCACGTGAGCCACAGCGCCACTTCCGGCTTTTTTCTTTTTGCTTATGTGGTACTGAGGAATCGAACCCAGGGCCTCATGCATGCAAGGCAAGCACTCTACCACTGAGCCACCTTCCCAGCCCCCTGCTGGTGTTCTTATGTTCCACTTGTATTTACTGACTTTGAGAAAAGGGCTCTGTTGCTAGCCCTACTTTACAGATGGGGAAGCTGAAGCTTTGAGAGGTCAGAGCACTTGCCTGAGGTGATGGTTAAGGATGCAGGAACGAGGGTGCTAACCCAGGTGACTGCAGCTCCAGAGCCCTGGTCTTTCTCATTGTTGCCTGGCTTGATGGAGGGGTGAAACCCAGCAGGCAGAAACTGGGGGTGGGGATGAAAAGACCCCCTGAACTTTAATTTCTGGTCCTTCCAAGATATCAGCCTCTTCTGACTGTGGCAAGGGCCTCAAGTTCAGAGTCAAGATCCTCAGACACTGCTAAATCTCCCTCTTAGGTATTAAATTAATTTGTAACCTGTTTAATATTTTATGAATGTATTTATTTCTTTGTGCTCACAAGAATATGAGGGCATTGTCATTTAGATCTGATAGTTTTTTAATCAATTGATGTCTCATTACAATTTTAATTAGAAAAATTTTATTTATTTATTTATTTGCCGGTCTTGGGGTTTGAACTCAGGGCCTGAGCATTGTCTCTGAGCCTCTCTGTGCTCAAGGCTAGCACTCTACCACTTGAGCCAGCACCACTTCTGGTGTTTTTCTCCATATGTGGTACTGAGGAATCAAACCCAGGGCTTCATGCATGCTTAGGCAAGTACTATACCACTAAGCCACATTCCCAGCCCCTTAATTAGAAAAATTTTAAATAGTGGTAAAACACATAACAAAATTTACCATCTTATTATTATGTTTTTGTTGGTCATGGTACTTGAACCCTGGGCCTGGGTGCCGTCCCTCAACTCTTCAGCTCAAGGCTAATGTTCTACTACTTGAGCTACAGCGCCACTTCCAGTTTTCTGGTGGTTAATTGGAGATGAGTCTCACGGACTTTCTTGCCTGGGCTGGCTTTGAACTGTGATCCTTAGATCTCAGCCTCCTGAGTAGCTAGGATTACAGAGGTGAGTCACTGGCACCCAGCTCTTAATTATTTTAAATGTATGAGAAGGAAGTTTATTCATATTGTTGTGCAACCTATCTTCATACTTTTTTTTTTTTGTTGCCAATCCGGGGGCTTGAACTCAGAGCCTGGACACTGTCCTTGAGCTCCTCTGTCTCAAGGCTAGTGCTCTACTACTTGAGCCACAGTGCCACTTCCGGCTTTTTCTGTTTATGTGGTACTAAGGAATCAAACCCAGGGCTTCATGCATGCTAGGCAAGCACTCTACTACTAAGCCGCATTCCCAGCCCCCTCTATCTCCATACTTTTTCATAGTCCAACTTGAGACTCTATACTCATTAAGCAATAATGCCTTATCTGATATTCGGAAGTCTTCTCCTCCTCCTCCTCCTCCTCCTTCTTCTCCTTCTCCTTCTCCTTCTCTGGCAGTACTAGGTTGTGAACTTAGGGCCTCTTCCTTGCTAGGCTGATGTTCTGTTACTTGAGTCTGCACCTACTACCCTGCTGTTTGCTGTTTAATTAGAGATGGAGTCTAGTGAACTTTTTCTTGCCCTGACTCTTTTTGAACATCAATCCTCCAGATCTCAGCATCCTTGCTAACTAGGATTACAGGTGTGAGCCACCAGCAGCTGGGTGTATCTTTACTTTTGTTGCCTTTAGTTAGTAACATAAAAAAGATCACTGACAGCTCTTTATGGTTTATTTACTTTTTATTGGTTTGTGACAGCTTTTTAAGTTAGGAAATCAGTCTTTTGTTATGTAAGATTCAACTCATCCCCCTGTTTTGTTGTGCCTTTTGATCTTGATTTTGGCCTTTCTCTGCCCTTTTCCCAGAAAAGCCGTTATGAGACCTACATCCATCTCCTGGCTGTGAAAGTCAAAGTGGGCTCAGATGATCTGGAGCGGATTGAGGCTCGGCTGGCCACCCTGGAAGGGGATGACCCTTCTCTCCGGAAGACACACTCAAGCCCTGCCCTCAGCCAGGGTCATGGGCCTGTGACTGGCAGCAAAACCACAAAGGATGCTCCTGGGCCTGATACTTAGCTGGTGTGGGCTTGCAGGCCCTGGAGACAGGCAAACACCCCCAGAGGGGTCAGTGAGCACAATTCCAGCCAGGAGCTGCTCAGACCAAGTTCCAGGCAGTTGATGGGTGACCAGAGCATTGTGGAGAACTCCAGGAGACAGAGCTGCCATTCATGGTTTTGGTCTTCTGGCATCCTGGGCCATCTCTGGCCTTGGACTCTCTCCCCAGCCCTGGCTGCCCTCCTACACAGGGTCTCTCTTTGTAGCCCAGGGTGTGCATGCCCAGCACTTCCTTATGGGAGAAGCTGAGGACCATTGCTTCCCCAGGCTCCCCTCTTCTCATCAAGCTCCTTTTTCATCTCCCATGTTTGTGAGGGCAGATCTGGATGACAGGTCTCAGATTGGACCCTCTTTTTGCTCCTTCTTCTCCTGAGTTGAACAGCAGCAGGTCTGCAGACCACCAGCACCATCCTCTCCTCCCGGCAACCCCTGCAACAGGCCTGGTTCTTCTGCCTCACATCGCAATAATCTTGGGTCAGGCCTGCATCCGCTCAGTGCCAAACTGACACTACTTATGTGTGTGTTCACTTCTCTTTTCACCCATTGGGGCCACCATTGCCTCTTTTTTTTATACAGGCATCAATGTATATGTAATTGTATATATATATATAAATTATATATATGGAATCCCTTTAAAGATGGGTTTGGAACCACTACCAGTTAGGAGGAAATTAGATGAAGGCAAAGCCTATTTCCGAGCTATGCCAGTTAGTAAGGACGGCTGCCATGGGGCCGTCTGTGGCCCGGATGCCTTGGGGAGGAAGACAGAGAAAGTGCTGATTTTTTCCTCTTTCAGCTTTTTTCCCTTAGACCTGAGACTCTCAACTGCTATTCTTGTTGAAGATTTGGGACTTTGTAGGATGTCTGTGGGTCATCTTTGCTGTCTGGTGTCCTGGAGGGTGGAGGTCATCATTTGCACCTGGGTCTCCATATGGGTACTGCCAGGTCTCTGAGCTCCAGTGATTGCCTCTGTACAGACGGACTACACAGGAATAAAAGACATTCTGCCATTCTGCCTTGCAGAGTGGCACCTGTCACCAAGCCCCAAACTGTGTGGTGAGGGAAGATTATGGAAGCTGTTAAATTTTTGGTCTTGGGAAAAGGTGAAATGACAAGTTGCTGATTGTTATTTCTTGCATTTTTGTAGTGGATCAGAAGGACTTAGCTGAGGACATATATGGGAAGAATAGAGATATTTGCCACGTGCTCATTGCAGATTGGCATCTTTTAAGCCCTGCATTCCTCAGAACAGCAAGGGGGTGTGAGTGTAGGTGACAGCACCCCCCCCAATGTGGTTATGATGAGCCAGGCCTTCCTATTGTTTAATCAGATTAATTGTAGTTTGGCCAGATATTTGACCTAGGCAGTGACGTATTTAGTTAATAAGATAAGCCAGCTTGGCCACTAAGTACCTAACATTTACAAGCCCATTCACTTTTGATGCAGGGATGGGTGAGTACATGGAGAGATGTAGTGATTTAAATCCAGATTATTTAACTTGGATCAGCTGAAGTGTGTTTTATAACCAAACCATCTGTCCTGTTCATTTTGCTCAGGGGAAGTAGATGCTCATTTAAATGGAATTGGAAAGGCCTGAAAAAGCTCTCAATTCTTTCTCCATGCTGCCCTGAAGATCACTTCCTGAGGCGGGTGATGCTAGGCGGAGGGGTGGACTTCCCTGAGCGAACACTACTGGTGCCTCCCATCAGTGAAAGCATTTTTTTTTAGTTTGCTTCCTTAATTGTATAATTATTTATTTGTAAATTATATACATGTACTACTGTACTAAAAGACTATGTACATTACAAAACATACACCAAAATAGAAATTTTAAAAAAAAGATGAGATGAAAATAAATCTACATCAAAGTTCTAATATTTTTCCCCATTCTAATGGACTGTCCTGTCCTCTCCCCACCTCCCCTCATTTTTCTTGGGCTATCCAAACTCTGCTCCTAGACAGATGCAGTGTATGGTCTTGGACAGTGGGGGGAGGTGGGGTTAAGGGACTCCGGAGGGGCTGACCATGGTTGACTGTCTCCTGTGCCTTTATCCTCTTAATTTAGTGAGTTCAATGATGTCCCTCATACCATGCTGGATGCTGGAGACAGTGGTGAGAAGCAAGCCAGCTTCTTGTCCTATGGGGCTCATAGTTTAATGGGGTGGGGAGAGAGGGACAGGCAGTTAGCATTGCTCTTTAGGACTTGGAGAGGGACTATGGAAAGAACCCAAGAAACCTTCTTCTAGAGAGGAGGAGGAATTTGGAAACTGAGGTGAAAACCGACCCATGAAGCTACCCAAATGTCCTAAGTGTTCAGAGGAGACGGTATGGAAGGGAAATGGATTACCTGGACTATAATGCTTCTTGAAAGGCCATAGTCAAGGGTCCCAAGGTGGAAATTAGGGAGGCAGAGTTGAATTTGATTTCAGGTCCCAACCATACCCACATATTGAATGGTGGGTGGTGTGAGAGACCCAGGGAATTATATTAGGGTCTAAGCCTCAGACTCTTTGTGGTATGACTGATATGTTAGAATCCAGAGCAGATAATGAGGGTACTGAGTAGGTCAAGGTGTTCCCCAAGAGGTCATTGGGGATCATATAGAGATTGGTGGGTTCAGATGAGTGGTAGAGGAAGTTTCTTTTATCTTTTTTCCTCCCTTCCTCGTTTCCTTTCCTTTCCTTCCTTCCTTTCTTTCTGCCTGCCTGCCTGCCTCCCTCCTTCCCTCCCTCCCTTTCTCCCTCCCTCCCACCCTCCCACCCTTCCTCTCTCCCTCCTTCCCTCCCTCCCTCCCTCCCTTCCTTCGTGCCTGCCTGCCTGCCTGCCTTCTTCCCTTCTTCCTTCCCTCCTTCCTCTTTCCCTCCTCCTTCCTTCCTTCCTTCCCTCCCTCCCTCCCTCCCCCCTCTCTTTCTTTCTTTCTTTTTTTTTTGTGCTGGCACTGGGACTTGAACTTAGGACCTTACAATCAGCTTTTTTGCTCAATGCACTCTACCACATGAGCCATACCTTCCCCTCTTGCTTTTTGCTAGTTAATTGGGGGTAAGAGTCTTGTGACGTTTCTGCCCCACCTGGCTTCAAACCTTGATCGTAAGATTCCAGCCTTAAACAGCTAGGATTATAGGCAGTAGAGATGGTTTCTGACTGAAAATATAGAAGGCAACTTAGAAGAATCACAGGAGGAAAATAAGCTGGATCAATGGGTTAACTAAGGGATTGTGTGGAGTTGTTTTGGTATCTCATCAATGTCAAGGGTCACAAGGAAAGATTTCTGGCCCTTAGAATATTTCAAAGCCAGTAGCAAACTCAGAGACCATAGAAGGTTCTGGAAGAAGCCAGTGATCTACAAGTTTTCACAGTGTTCAGCTCACTCCTTTTCCTGTTTCTTTGTTAAAGAGTGCTTCTCCCAGTGCCCCATAATGAATACAATGACATGAGTTCTTAACTTTGCTCCATCACCTCCCTCTCATCCACTTCTAGATACACTGAATCATTTAAGGGTTCAAGTCTTAGCAGACTGTCAACATCGCCATCAAGGTGACCACCTATTAAGTATCTCACAGGAGCATGCCCAGGTTTGTTGTCCATAATCTCCATACAGCCCTCTGATGTAGGCATTTGCATCAAAGTATGTGGAGGAGATTTTTGCCAAAAGAAGTCACACAGTGAGGGGCAGAGCTGGCATTTGAACTCAGGCCTTTGCTACTGGTGCCTAAGCTCTCTCAAGTCTGAACCTCTTTCTCCCTCTCATCTTTAGATCTCTGACTATACCATCCCCAGGGCATTCGTGCTCATGCACACGCAGGTACCCAGGTGTGCATGGCCTCCCTAGATCTTGGTGTTCTGCCTGGAACCTCCTGGTTCCTGGTGCTGGGCATTGATTTAATAAATTAGTTGAGGAGGCAAAAGCCTCCCCCCCTCACTTTTTTTGTCAGTCCTGGGGCTTGAACTCAGGGACTGAGCACTGTCCCTGAGCTGCTTTTGCTCAAGGCTAGTGCTCTACCACTTGAGCCACAACACCACATCTGGCCTTTTCTGTTTATGTGGTACTGAGTAATCGAACCTAGTGCTTCATGCATGCTAGGCAAGCACTACCACTAAGCAACATTCCCAGCCTGGAAAGCTGCCTTAACTCTGGGTCTGTCTCTCTCTCCATACCTGAAACCATGGACCTTCATGGCTGCGGGTTTAGACAGGCCTGGCACTAAGGGGTTATAAAGTTGGGGAAAGAGCAATAGCCCGTGGGCCTGTGCGCTGCAGCTGTTGTGGTCCTCCTGGCATCGAGGGTACCCATTATGCTACCTTGCATGTCCAGACTTTACCCAGGATGAGGCTGAGGCCCCAAGGGTCATCAGCTGCCCCTGTGCCAATCCCACAATCCATCCTTCCTCACCCACCTGGGCCGGAAACTGGGGCCTCAGCCCAAGCCTGTAGCTCTAGGACAGGAACTGGGCTAGAGTTTGAAGTACAGCAATTTTTATCAGTCCCCTGGCCAGGTTCCCCAGCAGCTAGAAGGGGCACCTTACAAGTGTTTTTGGAAAAGGGAGGAGGGAGCTCCCTGGGAGCCAAGAAGACTGGAGAGAGGGCCATTTCCTCCTGGCTCTGTTCTCCTGGTTCTTCTGTCCAGCCTCCATCCCAACACCCATCCACTTCACCACAGGTGGTCATCCTGTCTCCCTCCTTACCTAGGGCCAGGCACACACAGTCAAACAGGAGTTATTTCTGATTTTATTTATAATATAAAAATGTTCAAGTGTCAACAGTCAGGTGTTCGGACATTTCAGGGCAGAGTTCCCGTTTGTTTTTGTTTGGGATATATAGGTTTTGTTTCGTTTTTTTAACAATTGCCTTTTTTTTGGTGACAAATTAGCATTGGATCCAGTTTTGGGGATGGGAAGGGGAAGGTTGGAGAGGGAGTGAAGTCATAGGTGGCCTGGGGGGTTGCAGGTGGGCTGTGAGAAGGAAATGGTGTTACTTTATTGCTAAAAGGGGGATCGAATACACTGTCCAGTGGCTCTTCTCGGTCCCAGCGTGACCATGCATCCAATCTAAAGAATCTGAAATGCAAAGGACATGCAGGCATAAAATAGAAAAGACGACCTGTAACTGTAAACGAAGGTGCTGCAGAGGACAGAGGGCGTCCTGGAGGCCATAGGGGAGGAGGAGCCATAAACACTGGGCCCCTGGTAGAGCTGCCCCCTCCCTGGGCTGGGGCTGGTGGGGAGACCTTTTTCTCCATGCTCCTCCCTTAGCAGCTGTGAGGGACAGGGAGGGTCTCTCCTCCTTCTGGTTGCTATGGGGAAGTCCTTTGCCTCCCCACTTCTCCCTGCCTGAAGTTACCTAAGCTCCCAAATCTGGCCCTAAGCCTAGGATCCTGCCTTTCCACTCCAGGTAAGGGCCAAGGACACCAGGTCTGGCCCAGGGACAAAGCTACACCTGCCATCATTTTCTTCCTCCCCAGCACCCTCGGCCTGACAAGAAGGGCCCCCTGCTGCCCCCCACCCCCACCAACCCCGGCTCTTCTTTGCCATTCCCCATCCCTACCAGTTCAGGATCCCGCAGACCCCGATACCCCCCCCCCAACACACCCTGCAACCCAGTGTCTCTCCAGGAGCCCCAGATTAGCGTTACAGCAAAAGGCACCACAATATAGGTTTCTATTAAAGAGTCAAAAAATTGGCCCATCTCTCTTTTTTTTTTGTTGTTTCTTTTTTTTCCCGAAGCTGTAAATCAGGATGTTACATATAAATAGTTTCCCTATAAAAACGTCTTTGCCGTTAGCTATTATAAGACAATTTTTGCTAAAATGAAAATAAAACATTTTGTTATACTTTTTTTTCCTTTTATAGAAAATAAAAATATTTTTATTTCCCCCCCTCCTCTCTCCAATCGGCAGTCTCTGTTCTCCTTGAAGACAGCGGGGCGGGCGAGGCGGAGGGGGCCCTAGAGGGGCGCTGAGTCCTGCTTGGCCCGCGGGGACGGCCCGCGGCTGTGTCTGCTGCTGGCCCGCGTGCTGTGGCTGTCCAGGGAGTAGTAAGTCCTGCTGTCGGCCGCCGGGCACAGCGGCGGCGAGTCCGAGCGCAGCGCGTCGTGCGCCGCGC